CGACTGGCCAAATAAAATAAATAGCGGACGTTTTTCCTTTCCTCGAACAATAATGTTTCACCTTCACGTATTTGTATAGTGCGCACACGTGTGTTAGGTGATAAGTTTTTGTAGGGAACGAGCATGTTGAAAGTTTTAATTAAAGTACACATTGTTACATGATTTTCTTTGTTTAATCACTTCACCATAATTTAACATAGCCGTGAATGTAAATATTTATAGTTAAAAACTTTCATATAACACTATAGAACTTAATTATTTTCATATAAAACTCTGTACACAATGAAATCACTACACACGAAAAGTAGAACCGAAAATCTTTTCACACATTCTCAAGAGTAAGGTCTCTGTGAAATAATCTGGAGACTTAAGTTGTGCTAATCCGGTACATAGCGTCGACACCAAGGATGGCAGCCGTGGTACCGAAGATAACACACAAACACACGCGGCCCGAACAAATACTTGTCGAGAGCAAACATGTTCCGCACTCCATGATCTGGACACAACCTTATAAATGGGTGGGGCTGAGATACTATGAAACGTGACGATAGAGTGAACTAGTTGCATGGATAACATGCATAATTATTTATTGCTGATTTTACTAATAATTTCAGAATGGAATAATTATTATATATTAAGGATCATTATGCTTTTCACGGCAAAGACATAATTATCAAAATGAAATTCTGAATATCAACGGAATATAACTAAATAGATTGTGGCTGCTACATTTACGAAATACAAATATTTTAAAAGATCTAACAATCAAACACTACTTTCGAAATTGCCTCATGTCTCGAAAGCTCGGAACTCCACCGCATCCATTAGATCTCTATTTATAAAAAAGCAATCCGCAATACATTGACACCGGATCGGAAACTTCGTCTACTGTCAACAAACAAAACAAAACTAATATTTCAAAAGTCAATAGTTTCGGATTCCGAATTCAGAACATTGGAAGCATCTGAACCCACCGGGTTCAAACGGGGCAAAGTAACGTCGGATGAAGGGGCGCGCTTGAAATTGCCGTTAAGTATGTGGTGGGGATATAAAAAGGGGGCAAAGAGGCTTAAAGGGCTTTGCGCGGCTCGCGAGTGCCAAGTTTTCACGGAGTTATGCCCTTACAGCTTGTTTGTTCACGTGCCATTTCCTATGTGATTAAGTGGTGGATTTTGTGGGACGAACTTTGTAAAGAAATATTGTAGGTGTGTCTCTACTGCTACGGGAGTTTAATGTATTGTCGAATTACGAGTGTTGTTTAATGAGGTGTTGCTTCGAATTAGATATTTTTGTTTGAATACATGTGTTTGTTCTTTAAAGCATTTATTATAAACTTTAGAGGGGAAGCATGGCAAGTGAATTTTAAAATGAAGTATTGTAGTTAAAAATAACAGCATGTTCTCAACACAATATTTATTCAGCGCGAGTGCTAGTTTCACACCTAAGGCAAGAATCCCAAGAGTTTATTTAACAAGAAACTCATTAAAATGTCTTTCAACACTTTATCTTCAAAGGAAAATTACCCGACAATTTCAATATTTTGCATGCAACACGCGAAAGCTGAGCGTAATGCAATTACATTGCGACACGGCCACGGTGACAATGTACGCGCCGGCAGATTCTGCCTACGCCGCGCGGTCCCACGTCGGGCGCCAATATTATAAGAAAGCAAAATAATTTCTTCTTATTATGCACTCTAATTTATTTACATTTTGTATAAAACTATGATTTTGTATGAAAAAAAGTACTTTACTGTAACTAAATTTCACAGAAAAAAATGTGCAATTTTCATTTATTTTCCCTTTATTTTTTCATCTCTAGAGCATACAAAAATGTGGGTCATAACCTATAACGGTGTTAAACGGGCGTACTGTGAAACTTTCCACAAAAACTACTAATCTAAGGTTAAAGTTGAACATTGTGAACCTCTCTTGTATCCCTCCGGCGGCGGCGGTGAGACTAAGATGTTACAAGTGCGGGAGTCCCCCACTAGAGGCGAACTCCTCACAAAACTCGCAAGAACGTTGTAACTGATATTCAATAGACTATAAGTCACCTTGTTGAAAGCTAATAGAGTGGAGGTGAGGCTCGCAGCCGGCGCCTCTTTATTAATACCCGGAACAGTGCCAGATAAATTATGACGTCACTTAATCACAAATCCGCCATTGCTCTTAATAGCAGCAGAGGTCGAAAAGCATTGATTTATAATAACGACTAATTCGACCGGGAATTATCCGACTGTGCAGCTTTGTGATCGAAACTCAACCGTTAAGTTTCCAAATTGAGTCGTCTGTATTATCAATGAGCAAAGAGTGGGTTCGTTAAATTGTTCATGAGCTTGGCTCAGAGCTACAGTAATAAAATATTGAAATCCTATTTTGTAGAAATCAGCTTAAAATAACTCCAAGTATTTGGGAATTCTTGTAATGTCCGTTCCTTTGATATCCATACAGTTGGATCAGTGGCACGCACTGGTTGGAGGCGGCGCGACTCCTACGCAGTGATCTGTTACGCAACACGTGTGCCGGGCACACGCTAGGGTTGTCGACGGATTATGACATTTTTATTATATTTTTTATCATCAAAATTTGAATAAACATATTGTTTTCTGGCAGAGCGGCCATAAGCTTATTGTGGTACAAAATAAATAAAAAGCAAAACTACATTTTTCTTTTTACTGATGAATAAATAATATGATTGTAATACTCGCAAACTAAAAATTACAAATTATTTTCACTGTAGACACACTGATAAGTAATCAACTTTTCTTATTCATAATTTTTGTTATCACCCAAAAAATTTAAGTAAATAATGTTCAAGCTTTCTTTGTTAGTGGAATGAGCAAAACAAAAAAGGTAGAAAATCAGGCATCAAATATATAATTCATTCGGTTACTGCACCAGTGTTGCCTGCAATCGTCGCCTTAAAACGTTCCCAGTTCGATAATTAAGATAAATAAGTAAGCAAAGGAACTAAAATTCCGATTGTATCGCGAGTCAGAGGGTATCTGAACCAGGTCTCGTAAAATATGCACTGTATTGAGTGTTGCGCAGTGCGGCACCGCGGCACAGCGGCCCGTCTGCGGCGACTCTCGAATTTAACGCAGACTCCGTCAAAGTAAACAACGATGCGTGGTTAAGCCAGTTTCGCAGTTTGTCGTTTGGTTTTAGGATTGTCGGTGGTCTTATCTGTTTGTCTATCTACCAACTATACAATTATAGATTTCGAGCTTAGGGAGTTCGGCTCTAAGCTGACGGCTTTTATTTATCTCTTGTTTGGTATTGGTCGGGCTCTTTGCTCTGTGGATTATCTCTGTTAATGTATGTCTACGATATCACAATACTGTATGTAAATACGTGATCGTGGGCGTACTCCTTCCTTTACTGATGTTTGCAGATAGTAATGCCAAGGAAAGGTCAATTTAGTAATAATATTACGATAGCATTAGAGGAGCTTGTAACTAACTATGTAGCGTTCTTAAGGTTAAGTCTAGACTGATGACGGTCAGTTGTTATATAGATTGGTAAGGATAAATTAAGTTGTATCGACAGTATCCTATCATCGAAAGTGCTCAGACTTAAATTATACACTGTGAGATGTGAGATAAAATATCAAATGAATAAGATACAGTCTTCGGTATCTTATAAATAAATTGAAAATATTTAAATATTTAGGTTTCCTTGAAACTAAAATGTGAGTAGTAGATGACATTCTCGTCACGTGTGGTCGTAAACTAGTTGCTTTTAAAAGTGCAATAAAACATAAGAGGATATGTTGCCGGTGCCATTCGACCGAGCTCTGTCGTTTACTTCACTTCCAGGAATTACATGGATCTTTAATTAGATATCAGTTATATATGTATATATGTATGCAGCTAACTCATAGAATGTCTAGATAATATTTGAAAAAAATCATAACAATATAAATTAAACTTTAATAACAATACTCCTATTTCTGGCTAAATTATAAACAGAAGTTATAGGTTCAATCATTTGTTTATTGTTTCTTTGATTAATATTACCTACCCTTACAAAATAGTAATTAATGTTATAATGGATTCTACCCGTTTTAGTGAAAAACGAAGTGTGAGAGAGAACAATCACCGTGCCAACCGCGACATAATAGGACGGCGATGTGTTTGAATTCAATTTCCGATCGAGTTAGAAGTGAATTTATACTACAGTTCAATCCATTCCCGAGCAATAACCTGAGCTCGGAGCGGCATAAATTTCACGTGGATATAGTAAAAGCAGCCGCAATAAACTTTCTATTTTAGTTTTATTACTTTTACCTGGTCGGGAATTTGTAGTACAACTTGCTTCACCTCGATATATCACATGTTTGGACATCCTCATGATAACTCTGCCACTACTTTTATTCTGATGTTTAGTATACAGTTACTGTGGCTAGTATTGTGTAGTTTTTACTATGTGAAAGGATTTTTATTATAAAATCGTCTCGTTGACTGTAAACACTTTATTGCTGAGACTTTATTGCAGTGCCATTACGTATTTTTCCATATTCATGTTTGAATCTTGGGTGTTGTTACTTTTTTATCACAACATAACGCTGTCATGCTTTTTATTTCCAAGGTTGTAAAATACTTCGTAATGTTTTAATGCCTACTTTCCCAGTTATTCTATAAATCCCGTCGCCTATAGAGTGACCAGCAGCTGTAGCCAAATTCCATTTAGCGCTTGTCTACATGTAGAATAGAAAACCAAATTATATGGAATTGACGTAAAATTTGACATTTATCAGTGTCATCCCTCTCTGTAGACAAGCGCTAAAGTGGCGTTTGGCTAAACTAGTCAGTGCTAGTTTATCAGTCGTATTGTTATCTACGACTTTCGTTATTTTCATTAAAATTTTGAAAATCATTTTAATACTATGATTAACCAAAAAATCTAATCCAAATACTTTTAGTCAGTCGCATTACAAACCAGCCCCCCATGCCAACATATTTTTTAACTAAACCTTAAAATATCCTTCCTATCCAGGTGGCATGGATCCACATCGACCGTCAGATGATCCTGACCATCCACCGGCATGTTATCACAAGGCTGGCGCGGTTCAGCGTGTCCCATGATAACGCCATGACCTGGCTGCTGCACGTCAGCCAGGTGCAGCAGGAGATCGAGGGTACTATATGTGCCAGGTCAATACCAACCCCATGATTAGCCAAGTCGGATACCTACAGGTTGTCGGTAAGTAAATTCTGTTAAGTAAATAAATGCATTTTTCCTTCATTCCTTGTTGGATTCTGCACTTTATAGTCGAGTAACTAACTTCACTGTACGACCTACAGACTTAAAGAAAGCTTTTGTTGATATAAAAGCTTTACATAATTTTTACGACTAATTCAAAACCAAACATTTTCTCTTCCATTCCCAAAATAATTCATTTTAGTAGTTAGTAACTAAATTATTTTGATTCAATGTTGAATTGTAGGAGAATATTATTTGCTTCCAAACAACCCATTTGATAGATAGATAGATATAATACTGCCAGTTGTAATATCAATTTGTATAGTATATTTTATGTTGTGTTAGTATTATGCATGGGTGCAGTGAACTCCATGTGCATCAAACACTCTGGATCCTTTGGGACGTTAGATTTCAGGACCCACCGATATATGTGTCGGGCGCGATTAGATGCGACGCAAGCACCGCTTATGTAGACCTAACCAACACACGACAGATGCAAGGTTCTCACGATCCTGTTTACTTGTGCTGGATTTAATTCAGTATACATGCACCCTAGTATTTCTAGACTTAAATACCACAAACCATGTTTATTCAGCTTTATTTAAATTCTTCACAAAACCGCACCATAAACAAAATAACTCTTTAACAAAAATCATCAACGTACCCCAATGTTTGCAAATGATTTGAGCTGAATCCATTAGCACCTAATTATATGTTCTCATTCACAACTGGAGTTATTTGGGAATATAATGGAAACTTATTAATCAGGAATGGGAAAATATCGACGAGCCCTGTTTACCGCTGATCCTGCTCAACGAAGAAACTTTTAATTACTTTCCTTTAGTATTTTGAAAGGGTAATAGCTTCTTCTTTTGCTTCTTATCGCTTTGTGAAATAAACTCTTTGGCAAAATTTAATTGTTATTTTATACTGTCGAAATAAATTAGTAAGCGGAGTAATGAAAATGATTACTTTTGGTCGTAATTATGTGTTCCTGAGCCTCAAACAACATTCCAATGGAATGACACAACTTTCTTTCCGCGTTCATAACTTCCTGCAAGCGACACGAGGATGAGACAGCGTGACTCAGTGTGAGCGAGCCCAGCGTATCATCCGAACATAAATTGTAGTTTGTTACAGCAATATAACTGTCATCTTACTAATCTGCACTATCAATAACTTACCTGTTCTTGGCATCTCCGGCTTGTACTGGTGCCATTGTTTACATCGCACCATGTATTTACTCCGCTGCCATACTGCTAAATTTGTCGTTATTAACAAATAATTTCAGCGCTCCAGCCCGAAAATCAGCAAATATGGAACGTAGCCAAAGTCTCGGTAACAATTCAGTGGAGATAACATTCGTATCTAGTGGTCGGTGGAAATGTTAGATATAAAATGGCGTAGGCGTGGTTCGGTCCCAAATCACCGATACGGGTAACACTTAGTCTTTTATATGGCCGTTTCCTACAAACTTTTAAGTGGAAATAAAGCGGTGGTTTTTTCTCGTGTTTGCATTTTAAACGCGCCACGTAGTTTTTATCTTGTTTTTATTGCTTTAGGACGCAACTTGTGGCCGCTTATGTGTTCTAAATCCGTATCTTTTATTTTTGGAAAGGGATTATGTGTAATAGGAACAGGGAAACTGCAAGTATTTCCTCCCTTTTGGAACTCGTTTCTCCTTTTCTCTTATTTAATGTCATATATTTCCACCAGTACCGCCAAATATTCTGGATGAAGAGAGCACGCAGTCTGCAGTAGCAGTGCGAGAGAACCAGAACATCAGCCTGGTGTGTAAGGCTGATGGGTTCCCTACACCCAAGATAATGTGGCGTCGAGAAGATGGACAACCTATCTCAGTGGACCGGAGGAAGAAAGGTAATCATTATTTAACGTTTGAATTTAAATTTTGTAACTGATATACAACCAATTACTATGACAACTTACTGTAAACTGTCCCGCATACTATTAAGTTCCACATTATAAAAGACATAAACAGCACTAAAGAAGACATCCAACAATATTTTATTCATACGTACAATTACTTAGGAAGAGCAACTCCCGAAAGATGCCGCAATCTAAAATCGCATTTTGAACTGAGTTCAGTTTGCTGAAGTTCTCTTGCGGCGTCAGCAAAGTTGTTTAATTGAGTGTCAATTAGTAGCGAATGTTGCACGCGATTTATCTACATTGCACTGATAGGGCCACTGCCAATTGCTGTTAAAATGCAATTTATCTTCTCGTTATTTTGAAGAGAATTTTAGGGTTGCAAGTTTTTATTTGCTGAGTTTGTTAAATAACATTGTTAGTTACATTTCAACGTTGCGCTAACAATTTCACATGGTACTGATATTTTTGCTTTCGGATTTACTCTGATATACAATCCCTTTTTATAGAAGCACTATTTTATATGGATTGTCAGTATACCAACATATGTAAGCACCATGTTAGACTAGATGATAATTTTTTTTTTTTTTGTTTTGTTTTTTTATTTTAGTAAGTTCTGTAATTTGTATTATGCGTCATGCGTATCTTTACATTGCTCGCACATATGTCTAGAGGTACAATATTGGAATACGTATTAGAGACATTGTAAAAGAGTAACGAATGGAGTTTCTTGCTCATTCTTCTCCACTTCGAATCTACATTTTGGAACGAGCCTAGCTTCACTGACGGACAGACTGACAAAGTATCATTTATTTTATATTTGTTGACGTTTCAAAAGTATCAAATTATGCTTTAATTGAAATAAATGCTTTTGAGTTTAAGTTTTGAGTTTTAATTATCCAACATTAATGACTATCTGAAAACTTAATGTTGTAAAAAAACACTTTGACTGTGTGAGTAGTTCACCTTTAACATAAAGTATCATGAACATGTTTGTTGCTGTAGAAGAACACAATTTGGCAAATGTTGAGCAATTTGTCGTACGTGTCGCGTGCTAAACAAATGCGGCACACATTTGTTATGACTCGTTGACTTAGTTTCGGAAGACACTATGTTGTATGTTGGTACATGAATATAGATGTCAAGGAGTAATCATTTCAGTTTTTCTTTGTTGTCTGTGAATATTACTTGAAATAATTTTAAAAATATACGTACCAACTAAAAAATATTGCTGTGTTTTTAAAAATCTCAGTAATAGCACGGAGTCTGGAATTGTCTATTACATGGGACTCACAACATAAATAGTGAAAAGTGGGTATTACACTGTACAGTGGCATAATGTACACCTCTGCCTACCCCTTCGGGAATAAAAGGCGTGATTTTATGATTTTATGTCTGGAATTGAGCCAGGTATACGGCAATAGGCTCACCCCCTATTACATGGGCCTCATAACATAAATAGTGAAAAGTGGGTGTTACATTGTACAGTAGCATTAAGTGTCGTAATGTGCACCTCTGCCTACTGCTTCGGGGATAAAAACACATTAGCTTTTCCTTTGGTACAAAAACGCACATACTCATCACATACAAACTCAGAGCTATACTTAGTGGATTACACAAAGAACTGTTCCAATAACAATCGAATACTGGCAATCCATTTCAATAATATGAAAATAGCGCACACGCTACAAAAGTATATTTATGGTCGTCGCATTGTAGCGTAGTACCTGTCCAATGTCCATGTACACAAACCTTATAACTTTGTTTTCATCGTAGCGCCATTTCGTCGAGAATGTCAAGGCACTTGGTTTTTACGCTCGATTTCGGGCGTCCTCGTATTTAGTCTACATAGTTTACAACTCTTATAATTAATGGAAAGTATAGCAATATCGCAGTGTCTCTGAGGTTTAAGACGTCCACTTCTCATACATAAGAAGATGTAGATGATGGAGATGTAGGTTCGAAAGCTATCAACAACAAGTACCAATGTGACTTTTTCCGAGTTATATGAACTTCTAAGACTGTTTAGATGCCACTTACAAACGGTGATGAAAAACGTCGTGAGGGAACTTAGACTTATAATTTCTAATTACAAGTTTGAAATCGCCAACCCGCATTGAGCAAGAGTGGCGATTTGATTTAATGTGATAACAATATCCAGTGACAGATTACAAAGTGCACGTTAACATTATAGATTGCAATAAAACTAGCTTAACGGTTCATTTCGTTTTTATTAGAACGTTTCTTTTCATTGTTCCGTCGCATCGTCTCCACTTGTACACAGCACTCGCTATAAACGTGAAATATATCCAGTTAGTTTTAATTTACCAATAAAAAGAAATGTTCTAACGAAGAATATTGTTATCTTTTTGAGGATTAAGCTATTACTGTTATTAATACACACAAGAATAAAGCTCATGCGTAACAGTGATATGAACAAACTATCTTGTATACCGAAAAAAATCATACGATATCATTGAACATTTATGAAATGGGGATAATAACAATGTAGCAACATTTGGTGTTGGACAGAAATATTTAATCTCCAGATGTCCCACAACATGTATCATACACTTGAAAGTTTCGACAAAATATTAACATTCCATTAAGTAAACATGTACAAGTCGTCGGCATGCCGAGTGGAACATGTTGCTATAAGATATAATATATTTTAACAATCCGCAGAGCGCAGCTGTTGCTGCCAACTACAGATCCAGTTCAGGGCTGCTCCTCGGAGACACTAAATTAAATTTAATTAACTTGAGGTTTTTCTTTGGAAAAATGTTTAAGTCTTAAGAATTAAGAAGGCTTCCTCGCAGTCTTATCTTTGGAATAGAAATGATTAATCTAATTGCTTTGTACAATTCTCGAATCCTAACGTTTCTTATAGTAATGTACTCTAAGATAAGCTCATTCCTTTTTTCCTTTACTAAAATTTCGTCCCATGAAAATTAATCAAGGTTGTCAAGCAAACAGCTCTCACAGACTACATGTGATAATAATATATCATGTACGCTATCAGTAATTACTAAATCATGTGGTTCACAGCTATCCTTTGCTGGTATCACAATAACTAAATTATTCATCAATCTACATATGAGTATGTTACTCCCTGCTTAGTAAACAGAGCACAGTTCTGATTCACCATAAGGAAAACATTTCGATAATGTTACCCCAACATTTGGCGCTTTATTACTACTTATTCTATTGTTCCTTCCCCTCTATCCATAATTTTGTTTGCATTTACTAATACCTCTGTAATGCCAGTAAATGGACAACTAGCTAATACGATTGCATCCGACCATTAACTGATAGAAAATAAAGTGGAACTTCTTCGATCCTCGACATATTTTGTTACAAAGTGGAGATAGAATTTAGTGACCAAATGGTGCTGGGACGGAGTTTAACGAAGCTTCATTCTACACAATATCATCGCTGAAAACGCTTGTTAGTGGAGAGCATTCTTCAATTTATCACAAAGGGCGATTAATTAGCCCTAAAAGTCCTTTTAATACTAATGCTAAACATTAATTCAGGAAAGTGTTCCCATGCACAATACGAGTTTTGTTTCATAAACAGACCTCTCCACTCCTCGACTCTCTCGTGATCGCACTGCAGATATGATAACAAAACCAGTTTGCGCACCTTAATCCCACATCCAATATGGCCTCCACTTGAGCGCGGTATTAAGCCTCATTTCAAGAAAAAATCCAGTTTAAAGATAATTATGGCGCGGAAAAGCTGAGTTGTGCCGCCAAATTAAACCGGTTGAGAGTACCCCGAGCGCGCCGACAAAGGCGTCCAAAAATTGAGTTTAATTTCAAGAGCGATTTCCTTGTACAGCGTAAAATTAACGTGTGGTGTCGAGAGGTACTTGTCGCTAATTGTGTGTGACCCTCTCCCCTCCTGTCATTCCCACGTATGTTTGTCCCGACGGATGTTTTAATTACGACCGCCATCGAAAAACTCCAGTTTCCGATTCTATACGTGTTAATCTTTTGTTTGAATTAATACGGTCGCGGTGTACCCTTTTTACTCGCGGTGAATAGGAAGAGTCGAGTGCGGCTGGCCGTGCTGATGAATAAAAGTTGTCATGCCGAGTTTATACTGAAGCATTTAGATGTGACGCTGAGTGTGACGCGCCGCGACTCGACGCCCGGCCAGCGAGCCGCGGGTGTACTTTACTCGCCGCCTCAATAATGCAGAAAATGGGAAAGAGGAAAAAACATTTTTAGTTTGTAAAATCTTTTTAAAATTCCAAAATGCATTGCAATTTAAGAAAATGTAAGTTCACGTTTTTCCTCGAGATTGGAATATAAAAGTAAAAAGCGGGAACAGTGAACAGCTGTCATCTGGCTGAGCAAGCTGTAATCGTCTCACTTAGTTAACTGCTCGAGCTCGTTGTATAATGAAAGGGTGACTAGAGGAGCTCTATTTTAATTTTGTGGAGCTGTGACATTGTTACTAAATTATTTATACACTTAAGCTGTCTACCTTCTGGCGCGCTGTTTACATATTTACCTCTATTTTCGAGTAACCTTTTTATCATTATTCTATTTTAATGTTTAAGAAGCGAGACCTTATTTTGCTCTGTAAAAAATAAACTTTGAATTTAACATTAGGTAACCTTCTTCAATATGTATTGTGTTACATACATTCTTAGTCAAATTTATTATTAATCATCTCCACATTTTTCTTCGTCTTTTATACATAAAAAAGTATTTTTTTACGTTTTAATAATTTCATACTTAAAATAATATGTTCGCCTATACTAATTGTATGTCACTCTAATATTGGTGCAACTGGAAACACGGGCACGGAAACTGGAAACATGTTGTAACATGACAATTGTTCAGTTCATTCAATACTGTGGCACTAATTCATTAATGTACGCTAAATATGATTTCAACTACTAAGCCACAGCATGGTGCTACATAATGTCTAAACACATTATAATATAATAGAGGACCGCTTATCAGGAGTGAATAGAG